TTGAAAATATGCAGTTTGTGGGGATCAATTACAAAGATTGCACTGATTTTTGGGTAGGTCCTGATGGATCAGTTCTATAAGAGGGACAGAAACAAGTAAAGGGGAATATGTGGGAAAAGGTTTGTAGCTTTTATATATTTGAGCTTTTTATCCTTTTTTTTTTTTCAATTCGAATGCTGACTAGGACAAATTGGGTTTCAGCCAGGAATCAAGATGGTGTGTTCTATCTTGTCTTTGCCAATGCCACCCAAATCTTTTATGTCATACGAGGCCGAAATGGTCAACAATTCATAAATGAGGTCTCAAGGTTAAGTATGTGGATATTGTGATTTACCTATCATTGTATTTATAATTTCGTTTTGAAGTAATGGGAAATTGTGAAAAATGATTAATGTTAAAGTGGAGTAATTACTAAAGAAGACAACTTTAAGGGGGTGTTTGGGATTGGTTAGAGTGCTTATAAACTTATTAGAGTTTGGCACCGGCCAATAATAAGAAGATTTTAGTGTTTGGATGGGTAAAAACAATAAACATTTATTTGCTTGAATAAGGAGCTTTCAATAAGTTGGTTCATCCTTATTTGAAACTCCTTATTAGAATAGGACATCTAATTAGGTGTTGTTTGATAATCTAGACTAAAACCGAGTAAGAGGGTATAAGACCAAATCAGAGACGAAAAATATGGTATTAAACTGTTTGAATCTAATCACACAATTAAACAGTCACTTTATTTGTTTTTAACCTATTCTGATCATCTTATGAAACTCCATCATGAGATTATTTTATCCTATTTATCTTTCTTTTTACTGACCAGTTAATTGACCTTAATTGAGTGATAATATTAAACCTAAAGATGTTAAACATATTGATTAACTATGCGAATATTCGTACGTTGCATATAATCTAATAAAATATTTTGTTATCATGAATAATTAAAATAATTAAACTAAATTTTTTTTACTATTATTATTTTTTAATTATTATTGAAATTAATACGTTTGAGATAGATATTTTATACTCTTTATCAACCATAGTATATATCAAGGTTGTAGAAATCGCTCGACGTAGGCTAATCGGTGGACTGGGTCAAAGGATTAATCGGCTAGGCAGGGATTAATCAGGGACCATTAATTATTAAAAATATTTATAAATTAATAAATATAACATTAATCCTAAAAATATAAAATTAAATATAACATTATAATTAAACAAAATCATTAAAAAATTAATAAATATAACATTATAATTGAACAAAATTATTAAAAAATTAATAAATATAACATTATAATTGAACAAAATTATTAAAAAATTAGTAAATATAACTATCTCCAAACATTGAAGCCATTTTCATGGCCAAATTTGCAGCCATTTCTCTTCTATGAAAATAAGGCATCAACCTCAAACTATCAGGCATGTTTCCAATCTCAGACATCAATTTTTCCATATCCTCAACTTCAAACATGATTCCACCTTCATCATCATCATCATCAAAATCATTACCTTCATTTGAATTTCATTATCAATTTCTTCTAGCAATTTGGATGTTGATG